TCTTTATTTTTGGCCAAAAGTGGCCTCTAAAATTCTCAATCAGAGCAATCAAGGTTAGAGCCATTTAGTCAATTATAAACCAGCCGCAACTCATACTAGAGGTATAAAATAAAAAAATAACGATACGTGTGTTTTTGGCGGCAAATTATTAATTTATCTTATGCTCAAAAATTTATCTCTAAAAGTATAAATACAAAAGAGGTCGATTTTTTGTAGAAAATAAATTGTTAACTTGCCGCCAAAAACACATATACTGTTATTTTTTTATTTTATAGCTTTAATATAAGTTGCGGCTGGTTTATAATTGACTAAATGGCTCTAACCCTGATTGCTCTCATCCAGAATTTTAGGAGCCACTTTTGGCCAAAAAACAAAGACCGCTAGATGGCGCTGATTCAAATAACCTTCACTACTTACGGTAAAGACACTTTGTTAACTATAAACTAGCCGCAACTGATCTTATAGATAGACAATTAAAAGTTGACGCATTCTGTGCTATTTGCGGCAAGTTTACAATCTATCTTTGGGCCAAAAATCTACATGTAAAAGTATAAATATTCTACTTATACGGCCTACAAAATCGACCACATGAAAAAAATTACAATACCTTAAGCTTTTTACTATTAACTTATGGAAGCACAGTCCTTTAACGAAGAGTCTCATAAGAATGAAGCATTGGATCCGATTATACCAGAGGTGTTTAAGATATAAAGAAAGTGAAAATTCATAATTTTATGTTAAGGGCTTGTGTTTATTTGTAAAATAAAGAAAATTTGTTAATAGAACATAGAGCTTTATTTCTTTTACATTTAACAAATAATTAATGACGATTATACAAGCAGCTCTTAAATCTTATTGTAAGTCTGCAGAAGCTGATCCTACCAATCCTACCTTGATTAATTTTTTAATTGAAATGACCTTGTACGTAAGTACACTGTTAAATGATTTTAAATATTGAAAGTTAACAAGTTGTTCTATATAATAAATTCATTTTGATTAATCCTCAAAAATAATGTAATGGTCTATGTTGGATTAAAAAACTTTCAGCGTTATGTTACAGTGCAATGTATCACACATTCATGTTGTGAGCTTTAATATTACAATAACAAAGTTTGATAGCACACAAGTTAAAAGTCTCAACTTGCATCACAAATAGAAGAATATTAGAGAAATTTGTGAACTAATAAGATGTACCAATGTTAAAAGGGAAACATAAATCTTGATAACACGTTGGAATAAAGCAATTGTTTAAGTTTTATAACTTTTAATCATAACAGTTGATAATGTGAATATGCATTTGCTCCTTTAAAATTTGGTTTCTCCTTGTTTTAATAAAAATTTGTGTTACAGAAATCTTGAATTTCGATCAAATATACATGCGTAAATTAATCAGTCGAAAAGAGACAACTGAAGAAAAAAGGCCTAAAAAAGAAGCACAGTTACAGAAAGAGTCTCTTAAGAAAGGAGCATTGGATCTTACTAAATGAAAAATACATTCATTACAGATAAGTAAATTCAAAGTCTTGATTTTAACTGTAAAGTCAAAGGGCTGCACTGCCAGTGCTTCCATGAGTTAATGGTAAAAGGTCTAAAGTATTGTGAGTTTGTGAATATGGTTGATTTTATAAGCCATATAAGATAAGTAGAATATTTGTACTTTCACAGGTCGATTTTTAGATTGGAAATGAATTGTAAACTTGCCGCAGATAGCATAAAATAAGTCAATTTTTTATTGTCTATCAATAAGATCAGTTGCGGCTGGTTTATAGTTAACAAAGTAGCTCTACCTCAAGTAGCAATAGTTATTTGAATCAGCGCCATCTAGCGGTCTTTATTTTTTGGCCAAAAGTGGCCTCTAAAATTCTGAATGAGAGCAATCAGGATTAGAGCCATTTAATCAATTATAAACCAGCCGCAATTTATTTTGTAGCTATAAAATGGAAAAAATAACGATACATGTGTTTTTGGCGGCAAGTTAACAATTTATTTTCTACAAAAAATCGACCTTTTATGCATTAATACTTTTAAAGATAATTATCAAGTAAAAAATAGATTGTTATCTTGCCGCCAAAAACACATGTATCGTTATTTTTTCCATTTTATAGCTACAAAATAAATTGCGGCTGGTTTATAATTGATTAAATGGCTCTAATCCTGATTGCTCTCATTCAGAATTTTAGAGGCCACTTTTGGCCAAAAAATAAAGACCGCTAGATGGCGCTGATTCAAATAACTATTGCTACTTGAGGTAGAGCTACTTTGTTAACTATAAACCAGCCGCAACTGATCTTATTGATAGACAATAAAAAATTGACTTATTTTATGCTATCTGCGGCAAGTTTACAATTCATTTCCAATCTAAAAATCGACCTGTGAAAGTACAAATATTCTACTTATCTTATATGGCTTATAAAATCAACCATATTCACAAACTCACAATACTTTAGACCTTTTACCATTAACTCATGGAAGCACTGGCAGTGCAGCCCTTTGACTTTACAGTTAAAATCAAGACTTTGAATTTACTTATCTGTAATGAATGTATTTTTCATTTAGTAAGATCCAATGCTCCTTTCTTAAGAGACTCTTTCTGTAACTGTGCTTCTTTTTTAGGCCTTTTTTCTTCAGTTGTCTCTTTTCGACTGATTAATTTATGCATGTATATTTGATCGAAATTCAAGATTTCTGTAACACAAATTTTTATTAAAACAAGGAGAAACCAAATTTTAAAGGAGCAAATGCATATTCACATTATCAACTGTTATGATTAAAAGTTATAAAACTTAAACAATTGCTTTATTCCAACGTGTTATCAAGATTTATGTTTCCCTTTTAACATTGGTACATCTTATTAGTTCACAAATTTCTCTAATATTCTTCTATTTGTGATGCAAGTTGAGACTTTTAACTTGTGTGCTATCAAACTTTGTTATTGTAATATTAAAGCTCACAACATGAATGTGTGATACATTGCACTGTAACATAACGCTGAAAGTTTTTTAATCCAACATAGACCATTACATTATTTTTGAGGATTAATCAAAATGAATTTATTATATAGAACAACTTGTTAACTTTCAATATTTAAAATCATTTAACAGTGTACTTACGTACAAGGTCATTTCAATTAAAAAATTAATCAAGGTAGGATTGGTAGGATCAGCTTCTGCAGACTTACAATAAGATTTAAGAGCTGCTTGTATAATCGTCATTAATTATTTGTTAAATGTAAAAGAAATAAAGCTCTATGTTCTATTAACAAATTTTCTTTATTTTACAAATAAACACAAGCCCTTAACATAAAATTATGAATTTTCACTTTCTTTATATCTTAAACACCTCTGGTATAATCGGATCCAATGCTTCATTCTTATGAGACTCTTCGTTAAAGGACTGTGCTTCCATAAGTTAATAGTAAAAAGCTTAAGGTATTGTAATTTTTTTCATGTGGTCGATTTTGTAGGCCGTATAAGTAGAATATTTATACTTTTACATGTAGATTTTTGGCCCAAAGATAGATTGTAAACTTGCCGCAAATAGCACAGAATGCGTCAACTTTTAATTGTCTATCTATAAGATCAGTTGCGGCTAGTTTATAGTTAACAAAGTGTCTTTACCGTAAGTAGTGAAGGTTATTTGAATCAGCGCCATCTAGCGGTCTTTGTTTTTTGGCCAAAAGTGGCTCCTAAAATTCTGGATGAGAGCAATCAGGGTTAGAGCCATTTAGTCAATTATAAACCAGCCGCAACTTATATTAAAGCTATAAAATAAAAAAATAACAGTATATGTGTTTTTGGCGGCAAGTTAACAATTTATTTTCTACAAAAAATCGACCTCTTTTGTATTTATACTTTTAGAGATAAATTTTTGAGCATAAGATAAATTAATAATTTGCCGCCAAAAACACACGTATCGTTATTTTTTTATTTTATACCTCTAGTATGAGTTGCGGCTGGTTTATAATTGACTAAATGGCTCTAATCCTGATTGCTCTGATCGAGAATTTTAGAGGCCACTTTTGGCCAAAAAATAAAGACCGCTAGATAGCGCTGATCCAAATAACCTTCTCCACTACTTACGGTAAAGACACTTTGTTAAGTATAAACTAGCCGCAACTGATCTTATAGATAGACAATAAAAAGTTGACTTATTCTGTGCTATCTGCGGCAAGTTTACAAATTATAATTTTTTTTTTAGAGTATGCGGCGTTACCACGACCTACATAACTTAACAACTGCGGCAGCATTTGCGGAAAAGCGGAGTAAGTACAGGCTGTACAGCCATGGATAGATTCTTGTCGTTGAATTAGCAAGAGCATATTTTATTTAATAGCTCTAAATGACATTTACATGGCATAAAATTTTCAAAATATCGATTAATATAAATAAATGAATGAGTGTATGTATAATATATATACATTTGGTTTTTTTTGTATTACTGTAGTAGTGGTGATTTGTTAAATATTTTTTGTGAGATTGTGAGTTGGCATAGATTAGAGTAGATCATACATTTAATAATTTACATTTGCGTGTCTTTTATTATTTCCGCCAGTGTTTTAAAACTTTAATATATTTAGATTTATTATTTGGCATGCTCTAACCTTGAATTTCCCATGTTTGGTATTTCAATGTGTTTGAATAAGAATTTGTTATGCTTCAAGCATTGCTGCTCTAAATCCATATTTTGTCAAGAAGTTCCAGAAAAGTGTCCTATTTGTGATCAGTGCTTGACAACATTTTTGTTGGAACCGTTTGTTGTCCCTAATCCCTTAGTTAATGCCAAAGATTATCCATGCTGTGTTGTTGTAAGACCATCTGATGGTGATTTCCTTGATTATAATGTCTCGGATGATTTGCATATTGGAGTCACAGATTCAGATGGTAATGTGATTGAGTTTGATGGATGTGGTTTAGTTAAAAACGACAATACTACATGGAAAAAGTGTGCAGCAATTCCAATCATACCTACTTCTTGGGAAACATTTTGGGATGATGTATTAAATGATATGTGCAATGATTCAACATGGAATGCTAGTAGTTACAATTTTTTTGAGTTTAACTGTTTCAATTTCGTCATAGCCTTTTTGAATAATCTAAAGTACAACAACATTCAGTTTATGAATAAAGAAGATATGTGTAAAATTTGTATACTCCCTAAAATTCAGAGCATCATTAAATACTCATCAATTCATAAACAGTTGATAGACAATAATATTTACATTCAAAAGTAATTGTTCTACATTCCTTGTAGATTCAAGTTATGAAAAATGTTGTTGTCACGTTTGAAAATCCCAATACCTTGTTCTCATTGCTCAAAATTATTTCCAAAGTCATTGAGGGGTGTGGCAACAAGTATATGTGATGATCAAAGTAAATATGATGTTATTGTCATTGGAGGAGGTCATGCAGGAACAGAAGCATGTGCTGCAGCTGCACGCATGGGTGCAAGAACATTGCTTGTTACCCACAAAAAAAGCACAGTTGGTATGTCAAAGCACAGTTTTATTATTTTTCAACGTACGTAAATATGAGTTAAAAATATGTTTTAGGCGAGATGTCATGTAATCCCTCATTTGGAGGAATTGGAAAAGGACATCTTATGAGAGAAATAGATGCTCTTGATGGTGTGTGTGGACGTATCTGTGATATGTCAGGAGTGCACTATAAAATATTAAATAAGAGGAAAGGTCCAGCTGTGTGGGGTCTCAGAGCACAAATAGACAGGAGCCTTTACAAGAAACACTTACAAACTGAACTTTTTAATACTCCTGGTCTGCAAATTCATGAAGCAGCAGTGGAAGACCTTTTGTTAAATGATTATTATGACAAGTGCTGTGGAATTATATTGAGTAAGGCAGTTGTGTAAGATACAAGTCCTTGAATGGATATTTGTGATCAAATATAATTTATTTTTTTTAGAGGATGGTACAAAAATTTACAGCGATTCAGTTGTTATTACAACTGGAACGTTCTTAAAAGGACAAATAAACATTGGCCTAGAAATCAGACCAGCAGGAAGATTGGATGATGAGCCAAGTATAGGATTAGCGAATACACTTGAACGTTTAGGCTTCAGAATGGGGAGATTAAAAACTGGTATGTTTACAATACATGACTTGTGTTTGTATTTAATAATTTATTAATTAACTTTAGGTACACCACCACGGCTCGAAAAAGCATCATTAGACTTTTCAAAATGTATCAGACAATCAGCAGATGAAATCCCTGAACCATTTTCTTTCATGAACGACTCTGTGTGGATAGATCCAAAGAAACAAGTGTATTGTCACTTGACTCATACTAATGAACAAGTGGCAAAAATAGTTAGAGATAATATGCATTGCAATAGACACGTGACTGAAGAAATTACAGGTCCCAGGTACTGTCCAAGCATAGAAAGTAAAATATTAAAGTTTTCGAAGATAGTTCATCAAATATGGCTGGAACCAGAAGGTATTGACTCTCCTCTAATATATCCTCAAGGATTATCTTGCACATTGCCTGCAGAAAAACAGGAGGAGCTCATTCATTGTATTCCCGGATTAGAAAATGCCAAAATGGGTGAGTTTATAAACCCTTCTATTGGTGATTAAAGTGGTTTTCAGATAATAACTGTTATAACACTACAGTAAGACCTGGTTACGGAGTTGAATACGACTACATTGATTCCAAAGAGTTAACTTCAGCATTAGAAACTAAAAAAATTAATGGACTTTTCCTAGCTGGTCAAATTAATGGTACTACTGGTTACGAAGAGGCCGCTGCTCAAGGTATCGTGGCTGGTATCAACGCCGCTGCTAAGGTATAACATCAATAATAATTTTTTTTTTTCAACTTTCATTTATTATATAACAACTTACAAAAATTTTGGTTCTGAAATCAAAGGCTCTACACAGACCACCTCTTACCATGAGTCGAACGGAGGGTTACATAGGAGTCCTCATTGACGACTTGACGACGAATGGTACAACAGAGCCTTACAGAATGTTCACATCGAGAGCCGAGTTCCGAGTGAGTTTGCGTCCCGACAATGCCGACGAGCGGCTAACTCGAAAAGGCTACGAGATCGGCTGCGTGTCCGAGGAAAGGTGGAGAAGAACCGAAAGCATGTTGCAATTGCTTTACGAGACTATTGGCATAATGAAGGAAAAAAAGATGTCGTATTGCGATTGGCAGAGACTTATGAAAATGCGAGACCACAAGAGAAATGATCCGCGTTCGGCGTTTAATTTGATGCGCGACGAGAACATTAGTTTCGATGAAATAGCAACTCACATTCCAGAACTCGGACACTTGCGAGGAAATCATAAATTGGGTCAGAGAATATTCGTGAGTACTTGGTTGTTTGGCAATGATTTGATTTTCGTATACCGATACGTACAATTTATCGTTGCAGATCGAATCTTCGTATGATCACGCCGTTGAAGAACAGAAACGAGAAGTCGAGGAGATAAGAAAAAACGAAAATCTACTGCTACCTCTAGACATCGACTACAAAAGGTAGGTTTTCAGTAAAATGATGAACTGAGTGTATCAGCATCAACTCGAAATAAAGAAAAACTTTTATTCCGTACAGCTCACTTTTGAATCTCAGTATCGAAGATCGAGAAAAACTATCGGCAGTAAAGCCTCAGACGGTAAAATACAAAAAATAATCAGTCATTTACTCATGATGTTATTGTCGATTAATAATCATTAACGTCTCTCCATGTTTAAGATTGCGGCAGCCTATAACATACCCGGAGTAAAACCATCCGCCGTCCTGCAACTGTACTATTTTGTGAAAAGAAGCGAACAGCAACTTACTTTTGCAAATTGTTAATATTTTTTTCTGAATAATGAATAAATTTGTTACAAAAATATAGGTTCATTAATTATTATTTCATGTGTTTCGCCAATTGTCCTGTAATCCATTAAAATCGGAGCTTACATAATTTGTTTCATGAGTTATATGAAGCGCAAAGTTTTGTACTCACATAGATGACACCACTTCTGTAAAGTGGAGAGGTCTTTAAAAATCAAAATGGTTCTGAGAAATTTAAAAATCGAAAGGTTTCTGAGATAAAGAAAATCCTATTAATTACAGCTCATACACAAAAATGATTGAAAGAATATAAAGCTCGTCAATATTTTGCAAAGTAATGAGCAAATAGTTTTTAAAAAATAACTAGAAAGCCAAATAACATTTGCTGGAAATAAAAATTTAAAGCTCTTTTATAAAAGTTACCAAAAAAAAAAATTTACACATGCGTAGTTAATGCACACGTGTGCTTTGGGATGTCTGATTTTCCATCCCTATCTCCTTTTTATCTTGGGGATTTTTCCGATTAACCCTCCGGTCCCTGCCAAAAACATAATCCTGAAGGTCCATCGACTTTCAATACATCTTGTGTAAATAAATCTGTACATGGACGTCTTTGATATTATATTTTCAAAATGCTGAGGTAGAAGGGCGAGCGTCTTTTTAAAAGAAACTGCAGGCAGAGAAGTGTTTGTTGACTCCTAGTCTGGATAAACATTGTTCTCGTTTCAACGATTTCACTCTTACTACCCATATAAAAAACCATAAAATGTAAAATTATAAATATCAGCTCACTTTTTGATGTCACCTCGTGAATTATTTTCACATGAATATTTATCGATTCGCTCGTGAATGTTACTTCAAAAGCCTGGAATTAAACTGCCGTAAAGAGAAATATTTTTGAACTTCAATGGCACATGGCAGGATTTTACATATGTTTGCCAATACCCGTTCTTCAGAAATTTTCACATTTTTTAATCATCGATCTCTCTAAAAAAGTAATCAATATGGTTTCTGTTCTGTTTATGCCGTAGAAGCCGAGTTCATTGGTCATTTTTGCGCATTTTTGCGTCCTAATAACGTTATTTGCATACAATGACTCACTTGAAACAAAAAAGTTTCTTCCGATTTTCATGCACTCACAACTGAACGTCCATTTAACGCGACGTAATCATTATGAACGAGAGGGAGGATCATAAGAGCCGATAATCTCCATATTATACCGTAGCTATTGGTGCACAGTGAGCTCCGATATCAGTGGGGGTTTGAAGCCGACAGAGGAGGATTAAGTAAAAAATTTACGATCACCTGCGGAGCGACGAATTGGCAGAGCTTACCTTATGATCAGCATTACCTGACTGTGACGACAGAGTCAATTTTTGATGTTTTCCAGTGGCGATGTACCTACTCTATAATTTTTTAAAAGCATACAAATGTATACTTGAACAACATCAGGTGGTATAACCAAAGCGTCTCCAATGGGTCGGGGACTTGGGAGCTTTCCAAGCTCGAGCCTCGTGGAAAGATCGAACTATGCAAAGCTTCGGTCGAGGAGGATCCAAACATCTCGAAACTCCCCTGGAGGACCTCCCTACTCCCCTTCGGGGGTAAAAATCGGGGCATTGGCGCTTGTTCGTCCAAACTCTAGGGGAGAAAGTTGTCTCGCAGCGGATCCGCTCGACTAGCCAAAAGGGGCAGAGCTTTTTGCTCCACAAGTACATGCCCTGTTTGGTACAGACATTTAGGTATGTGTATATCTGCAACGTAAAGGGGCGACGTAGTGGCCACTGCTTGGAGGTACCACTGGGTACAAACTTGGCCTATTGAGTTAGGAGGGGCTTCTCCGCGATCCTCCGCTCCTCTACTGAAGCGTAGAGGGTAGCAACAGTCATCGTAATTGAATTAGTCTACCGGAGACAGGCGTACATGTGTATGTATGAATGTAGGTATATTAGGAATGTCCAAGGCATTTTTGGGCTGGCGCGGTTGAGGTCTTAGGTCTTGGAAGCACTGATGGCCCGATGGGATGGAGTTTGCGCTGCTCTCCATTGCTGCCGAGCTCGTATATACATTGCGATTTAACGCAGCTATTGAGCTGCGAATGGAGAGGCTTGAGTATATCTTCCGACATATAGGTCAAGTTTTTTAAATGCAAAAAGGGGAAATATTTTTTATCAGACGTATCATCGTACGATACAGTAACATATGTTGGACAACATTTTTTAATGCTAAATTAGTTTTTTTATTGATTATTTTTAATACTAATTTCAGCAGGAAGATTGGGTTTAAAAATAAATACGCAAGTTTTGCAACTTTATAATTATTGTACTAAATGTTCTCTTTACTTTATTATTCTTCATTGATGTGACATAGCAAATACTGTTACGATTTACGATACATTGTAGGAATCCACTCACATTGGTTTAAACTTGGCTCTTATACAGAGTATAATCTACAAAATAATCTCAACCACTTACTTGAAAAAAAAAAAAAAAAACTGTCACATCTTCAATCGAAAACTTGTTGTTAGTATGACAAGATGTTGTGCGCATTTAAGTTAATTGCAATTGCATGTTACAAAATAACAAAAACAGAAATAAATAAAGATTTTCTTACTAATTACCATAACGAGTGGATTACAAAAATGTACATCGACCAACGCTCTAATTTCATGCAAAACGACTACTACACAATCACTAACGATACTTCCACACAGACCTAACAATGAATCTCATTCATGACTCGTTGTAGAACACAACATACGCACGTATCCATTGAACAATTCTCGATTATGTTCCTACATACATGTATTTACAAACTTACGTGATACATAAACGACACCTATTCATTCGTTGATAAAACGCGCTTGGCGCAATAATTTACATTACACCGTACGTGTGTGGCGATACTCACTCGATTAGCAACTAATGGACAAACACGACAGCACGTCAAGACTTTGTTTGCTTTCCGATGCATTTGGTCGCCCCTGGACTGTCTTTCGGTGCGTCGACAAACTCGTCAACGCGTTTTACATACCACGAGTATTTTAGTTGCTTTCGACTGTCTCTCTAACGTATGCGTACAACAATCGAATCGACTTAACACAAATCTAGGCCAAGAAAGTTTATATATACACAACGGAACAAGGTTTTTCAACCGTAATTTTCAATCACTGCCACGTGCTAAGTATGTAAAATAATTTATCGCAAGTATACAGGTAAATTAAACGTAAGGCCATCGAATACTTGAAGTTTCTTTTTGATTTGTAGAGGTATATAATTGTACACATCACATTGAATACAAATAGTATGAAATTAGTTTGTTTACACTAATTCTTAGCGGCAGTTCGCACCAATGAAAGGAGAATCACAGATTGTTCGATTCATTTGCTTCCTTCAAATCTTGTTTTAAAAGTTGAACAGAAAAATACGTCATAAACTTGAAAATTAGGAAAAAAATAAGTTTACGTCGCGTTCGATATTTACGCGTATGTAAATAAATAAATACAATCGAGAAGCTGACTCCAAGATCACTTAACTCGCATCCGGTGCGCGTATAAACACATACACATGTTTATATGTAAACATACACAAAAAATCACGCACCTAGTGCTATTGACGCAAATGACGAGGTGTAAATATGGTAGAGTCTCGAGGGAATGCTTTATCTCCTATATTTTTGCTGCCGAAATGATTTTATGACGGTGAGCTTTAAGAGTGTTTTTTCTCACTTGCAAAACGATTTTACCGTACACGTGTTCCTATCAACCCTCAACCTACCTTTTTATCAAAACATCAAAGCTTAGTTTAAATACCACTTTTAACATCGTAAATTGTACATTAAACGCGCTGGAGAGGGATTACTTATGCGACTCGAGTACAGTATTTTATACACACAGGTATGTTCGTGCAAATCTCGTGGCTGCGATCTGAGCGAGTTTTTTCTCTCATTTTTTCGAGCCTCCGTCCGCCGTGTGCTTTCTTCTACATCACTTTTTTATTTTCATCCACGTTCTTTCAGCGCCAAGTCGGCTCACGTTAACTCGACGGCTTCAAGTTGCCACTTGTTGATTGCGAGCGTGTATACATAAATATAAATCTAGATTCGTCAGTCACGCTACCGATGCTACTGCGTTTACTTTTCCTGATTATTATGATGGACGTGTTTTTATACATTTTTCTTCTCGAATTATTATTTATTCTATTTGGTATTGAAACGAGTTTGTTGGGAGGAGCTTTCAATGAAAATATTACAAAAAAAATTTTCATACCTCATCAAGCGTTCACGTTATCTTATTTTCTCTTTTTGTCTCAACATGTTTATAAATATTATATATTTTTTTAATATACTGTGACATATATTAATTAAACTGTTACGTAGAGCTAATTACTTACGATGGTTGCGATTACGAACTCATTGGACCTTAATGTGTACGATTTCAATTTCCATTAATAAAACTAATTCAGCGATGTGAGTCTATAGATTCGTTCCTTCAATTGCACTTACAAGCGGTTCGCTATAAGAGCCAATTCAAACGCGAATGTACTTATCTCTATGTACTTGTACTACAAGATTTGCATGCATCGACTCGCTCTCACAGACTATCACAAGTTCCTCTCTACACTTGAAAGTAAGGTACTAGAGGTATACATTATTTTTTTATAATTATTTCCATGATACATACATGGACTTAAAAAATTGATCTTGATGATTATTGCAGTGTATGTAAAGTTTTTCATTTATATGAACGAGTGTATCGGGCTAAGGCTCGTTTGTCAGCGCCGTATAGTAGTCCTGAGGAGTGACATTTGATGGTGCTCCGAACTTGGTAAAAACGGTCATAGTTTCGATTTCTATTTTGGCGAAGTAAAAGCCGTGACCTGAAATTAAAAATTTTAATGCATTATCTTGTGGAAGGCAATTAGTTATCCATAATTTTACTTCTTTTATATGCTACTTACTCGCTGGCACATGAGACAGGATGGCGTCCGAAAACTCCTGCCTTTGCACTCGCGAATTCT